ATCCTGGAAAGGGTTAAACCAGGCTACTCCTTGGAGGCAAGGATTCTGGGGCTTCGTCTGACATACTTTGGACATGTTGTAAGGAGAGACAGATCCTTGGAGAGGGACATCATGCTTGGTAGGGTAGAGGGACAGCGCAGGAGGGGAAGACCCTCTATGGGGTGGATTGATTCAGTGACTGGGGTAATCGGGATGGATGTGTCAGAGGCCATGCGATTGGCACAGGATAGCAGGGTTTAGGGCTGTTGTACGTAGGGTCGCTATGAGTCACAAATGACTCCACTGCACATAACAGCAACATTACATTTGTTTGCTCACAAAGTTCATATGCATTGTGTTTCCCACTATTCTTCATTCATATTGTATTTTATACAATCATTCCCATGAATTATGTTTGATAAAATCAATCACCAGCAGACCTTGCCCATCATTATCCTGTCTTTTCAGGTCCCCGGTGGATCCTTCGCATTTCTTTCACCCCCTCCCTCCACCCACCAAACTGTGCAGCCCTGTGGTTTCGCACCTGCTCATCCTCCCCCCTCTGCTCCCACCCCTTCTCTCTCTGCATGGAGTTTTAATGATTAAGGTATTTATCACAAGGTCTACTTGTAATCATATTCTCTTTTATTGCCATCAAGATGGGAACAACCTACAGCTCACCCTCCACTGTGTTTCCTAATCTATAGATTTCACAGGAGGATATTGTCTTTCTCCCTCAGAGCTGCTGGTGGACTCGAACAACTGGAGAGGCTCAGTCTCTGGATTAGCAGTGCAACTCCATATGAACTGTGCCACAGAGCTGGGTATTTTGTAAATGCTAAGCCTTATTTTACACCCATTATTGTGGCCATCAAGAAGTAGGACAGAGTAGCATCATCCCCAGGGGTTTGGAAAGCTATCATCTTTATAGGAGAACCAAGACCTTAATTATTGCACCATCAGGGTTCCCGTGTCAAACCCAGCATACGTCTTGAACACCTGTAGTAAAATGAAGGGCTTGGATAGAGCAGTTGCTATAGCATGTCCAACCTCGGAAAGCAATTGGAAGGAAGCCTAGAAAAGTAAGTACAGGGTCACCAGAAAAGTGACACACGGGCTCCTTTTTAGGTTCAGGCACTGGATCAGACCAAAAATTAGTGACTCCCGTTCTGACACATGGTAAGTCTACGGGATGGAAAAGAACTGCCCCATGGGGTTCTCAAGGCTGTATATATTTCTAGGAGCAGGCTGCCCTCAGCAGTTGGTGGGTTCTGGCCACCAGCTTTTCCGCAAACAGTCTAGTGTTTTAACCACCAGAGATCCTAGTCAGTGGACCAGGACCCTTAATGTAAAAGTGGCGCTTGACGGGGCTTCAGCACCTTGAAACTCTGCTGGCGCTAAGATTGTGTTTCCCAGAATGTCTCTGCAGAGTTACCAGGTGGAAATGCCCCCTGGGGACTGTCTGCTCAGTGGTGCCCAGCTGGCTGCTGAAAGCCACCCTCTGGTAAGCGGGAATAAACAGAAGCAGCTGACCTTTCAGGGACTCATCACACAACACTCACCCTTTCCAGATGGCCCAAGAGGCGGGCCATGGCCCTGGATTTCTCTTCCCGTGATTTTAAAAATCTAGGAAATTTTTAAGACTTGGGTTTCAGAGAATTTACACTCAGCTCATCAAATCCATTGTTTTATAAGAGTCCAACAAGATTAATGAATCTTTTTCTAATGCAAAGCCCGTTTTTTCTTAGAAGGGCATTGAGCGGCTTTGAAATGTGTGCCAAGAATTGCTTAATATTAATAACAAATTGCTCTCTACACCTGCAGGTTCAAATGTTACTTAATACTCTGGATCTAAGGGATTTGAATTATCACTAGGGTTTACCGTCTCTGGTTTATGGATCTTTTCAAAGGAAGAAAGAAAACAGGAGGGAGTTCACGAGCATTCGTGGAGTGCTTTACAACAGTGGCCATTGTCTGAACACTGGACTTTTAGAACCTTGTTGTTGTTTGTTGTCATGTTGGAACCAAGCCTTAACTGACCCTCCAGAGAGTGCTTAGAGGCAGTAAATTACACAGGAGAAGATTGGTTTATACATAAACTTCTCAGTAGGGCCAGTCTCAGGACACTGACTTCCAGGCTGGGTTTATTTCTGTCTGATGGACCAGCACCAGCAACCTGCTGGAGTGGTTTTCTAGCAGGGGCACATGGACATGACCTATGTCACATTGAATGAGTCATGTAAGACTGAAGAGCCCTTGGGTAGAAAGAGAACAATTTTTCTGCGTGGTGTGTGCAATGCTGCTGGCTGGCTCTCTTCATCACCCTCCGTTGTCATCTGGCGACCTCTGCTGGTGGATTTTTCCCCAGTATGTGTGAACAAGAGACTGCTTAGCCAAGCCGTCCAACCATGGTCCATTTTCCCACTTTCCTTTCCTCCTGTTTTGTCCTTCACACTAGGCATGGAGAAGACTGCGTTGCAAACACCCAGAACGTACTGAGGCATGTGTCTGAGCAAGCTGTCAGCTCACCGAAGTTGCCTTCTCTTCCAGCGAACCTCTAAGCCGTTTCTGGTCAACAGAGAAAGGCGCCAACATGCAGGAAAATGTGGCATCCACAGTTGTTTTCTTTCTGCTACTCTGTTTCAACGTCACCCATCTGAATGGTAAGTAAGACACGGAGCAGCTCTCTCTCATTATCTAGGTATTTCTGGAGATGAGGGAGGGACCTTCACTGTCCTCTTGCAATGCAGTTGTGATCCATGGAACTGTTTGTGTCCTCGCTGCTGCTCAGTTCTTCAGTGGCCCTGAGCACTTGCACGGACTTCTGCCCTCTGCATTTCATCTTCATTAGGGACCCCAGGGAGACAATTCTGAGGAAGAAGAGCCCTGAGTGACAGTCCCAGCTCAGTCAGTTACTAGCCATGCAGCTTTGAGCCAGCTGCTTCATATCTCTGGCTTTTCCCTTTTGTAAGGGGAAGATAATGATGTTTCCTCCATCTCAAGTGAAATAATGTTTGTGTGACAAACCTTTGACAACTGTAAAGAGACGTAGGTGTCACTGTTGCGTGCTGGGAAACAGGTTGAACCAACTCTGTATCATTTGTGTTAATTGGGGAAATAAAGTTTACCACTCACTTGGGTATGAGGGTGTTTGTGTATGTACCTGTGTACACTGAGTGGGGCTATCTCAGCGAAATCCTGTGAATGTGCTTGTGTGTTAAATTCTGTGAGTACTTGAGTACAAATGTTTCTAATATGTGTCTACATATGAGTACTTCCATGTTTGCACACTTCTGAACATACCTATCTGTGTTCATTTCTTTCTGTATGTGCTTGCATACAAATACTTGGGTGTGCACCTGTGTATGCCCATGAACACTTCTGTGTCTATGCCCTTGTGTATTTCTAACTGTGTGTGCATTTCTGGAGTTGGCTGTGTAGAGACAGATGTCGTCTTGTGCTGGTGTGTGCTTGTCTCTGTGGCCTTGTGCATTTTATAGGGACCATGAGACATCCCAGTAGCTGTACCTGTCTTCTCTAAAGTATGTGACCCACTATCATTTAACAACTTTCCCCTCATCTACTGAGTTTTCTAAAGGTGTGATTAATAACCAATGACATATGGAAGAGACATTTAAAAAGATAAAAAGGAAGACAGAGGTCAGTAAAACTCTTAATGGAAACATTAAATATAATACTCAAAGGATCAAAGGCGGTCTTAACTGGCTTCTGAGTAGAGTTATTATTGACTAATGGTTGTCTGAGGCTGTTTCTAACATATGTATATTTCATACACTCTTACCCACCTATCACTAAAAAAAAGAAATATGGGATTTCACCCTGATTACCAATACTATTTCATCCTGTGAAATTATCCTGGTGAAATAAATGTCTCTTAGTTAACAGGCAGTACTCTAAAGGTAGGCAAAGCTGTACCCTGGCCAGCCTGGAGGATTTTCACCTGATATGTGAACCAGAGTCCAGCTCAGATCCTGACTCACACCACCAATCTGCCTTCCTCAGCTCCAACCCTGATCAGCAGCCTGTTTCACCTAAGCGTCCTTCTCTCTGTCCCCAATCTCAGCACTGAGGTCACATCCCAGTATTTCTCTCTGACTGTGTGATCAGCAAGCTCTCTTCTCTGCCCCTGACTTTGTAAACAATGTGCTGCGGCATCCAGTGAGGCCAAAAAGCATAGCAGCAGGGTAGTAAAGAAGAACCTGACTGACCTTCAGTCTGGCAACGTCAGGGCAAACCCCTATGGTTATTTGCTTCCTCTTCAGACATAAGAGCTAAGAAAGAAATAATGAAAGCAGGTCACTAAGAGCTTTGAGATGAGGTGGTTGGTAGGAGCCGTAAAGACAGAACCAACTCATAACTGCCCCTCCAGTGAGTTTTCAGAGGCTGTAAATCACACAGGAAGAGGCGGTCCGTCTTGCTCCAGCAGAACAGCTGGTGAAAAGCTGAGGGCCTTTGGGCTCAAAGAGCAACTCCTTACCCACTCGACCACCCCCTTGCCATTGTGTTTGTCATAGCACCCCATTCAGACCCTCTGGCTTCCAACTCTTGGAGAATAATGATGGCTAGTAGCCAGAATCAGAGGTGATGAGGTTGGCACGGTAGAGGGCCAGCTTCAGATCTGTTAGTCATAGGGTCACGGTGAGTCGTCATCTCCATGGAACCTAACAACAACAAATAACCAGGAGAGGAGCTAACCTCTCTTCCACGTCTTGTCATCACACCTACTCCCAAAAAGAGTCACAGAATTTTTTTTTTTAAGAAAGAAAAAGCCCTTCGGCATCTTAACATAAAACAACTCAAGAAAAAGGTAGGGACTTTTTTTTTTTTAAAACAGAGCTGAAAAACAAGATTGAGAAATGAGGCAGAGAGGATGAAAATGTGGCTGATGATGCTGTCTTATGGTCAAAGACTGGATGGGCACAAGGAAACGTGAAGGGAGAAAGAATAGAGGAGAAGTTGTTGTTGTTGTTGTTGTTGGTGGTGGTGGTGGTGGTGTTAAGCAGCTATTGAGATGACTGCGATTCATAGCGACCTGCTGAACAGCACATGGAAACCGTCCCCTGTCCTGCACGTCTTCAGTCCCCACCATGCTCAATACTTGTTGCCGTTGCTGCATCAGTTCATCTCAGTGGAGGAGTGGGGGTCCTCCTATCTTGTGCTGACCTTAACACTTTTAAGTGTGACATATTTTTCCACGGATGATGCCTCCTGAAAACATGCCCAAAGTATGAGAAGATCAGAGGAGACAGATGTATTCAACCAGGCAATAGACAGGTTCTGTATGGTGAACAATAGGTCCAGGCATGGATCCACACCTTAGAATAATCCGCCATATATGGTCAAAAAGCAGCATGTGCTCAAAGATAATAGCCCAGAAGGCAGGAAGGGATAAAATGGGATTATTAATGGGAATGAAGATTAAAGGGAGGATGTGTTACATTTTCAATATTGTGATTGGTGTTATTTTTAAAATGTGTATGAATGGTTAGAGACCTCTCTAAAGTGCTAAAGTGCAAGGATGTCAGTCTGGAGACTAAGGTGTGCCTGATACAGGCCATGGTCTTTGTAATCACTTAGTATGCATCAGAGAGCTGGACAATGACTAGGTAGGATAGAAAGATAATTGATGCCTTTGAGCTGTGGTGCTGGAGAAGAGTATTGAATATACCATGGACTGCTAGGAAAACTAACAGGTTTGTCCTGGAGAAGGTGAAACCAGGCTGCTCCTTGGAGGCAAGAATTCTGAAACTTCGTCCGACATACTTTAGACATGTTGCAAGGAGGGATCAGTCCTTGGAGAGGGACAACATGCTTGGTAGGTTTGAGGAACAACACAGGAGAGGAAGACCCTCGATGATAAGGTTTGATTCAGTGACTGGGGTAATAATGGGGGCAGGTGTGTCAGAGATGGTGAGACTGGCACAGGATAGAGCAGAGTTTAGGGCTCTTGTACATACGGTCGCTATGAGTCGCAGGCGACTTGACAGCACATAACAGCAACAACTTAAATGGTTGCATGGAAACCCCATTTTCTTTTTTATACTTTCATTCAAATCTTAATGAAAAACTAAAGCACATAGAAAGAACACCGCAATCCCAGGGGTATGCGGTTCAAATCCACCAGATGCTCTGCTGGAGAAGGAGGGGACAATCTCCTCCTGTACCAGTCAGATCTGATTTGATAGTACACGTAAAAATAATACAATAAAAATTTTAAAAAAAGAAAGAACGCAGCAGCAAAACAGTCTCAAAGGGAAGATCCATGACACAGTTAAACAAGAGTCAGAAATTAATTGTTTAGAAATGGTAGGAAGAGTGGAAACCTACATGCCAAAGCGTACTCATGACTGAGTATTTACAAGATGCTTGAAGTTGAGAAGAAGTATGCTCAGATGTATGCTGGGGACAGGTGTCCACTTTCTAGACCTCCTGGGACTGTGGAAGGGCATCTACTCATCGGTGCCTGATGTCCTTCCTTGGAATATTCCCCCACCCACATGCACACATCATCCCAAAAGTCTGCCCCTGGCAAACCTACTGACATCAGGGCAGCCCACCCAAGAGTGGTTGATGGTGATGCTTTGTCACAGCTGAATACCACACCCCTGGGCATCCTCTTCCCAAGGCTTTGCGACTGAGTGGGTCGCAGGAAAATGTTTAAATGTGCCTTAATATTGACTCCACCACTGTCTGGCTTTTTCTAGGACAGTCACCTCCTGGCAAACCCAAGATATTGAAATGCCGTTCTCCAGATAAGGAAACCTTCACCTGCTGGTGGAAGCCTGGGACGGATGGAGGACTTCCTACCAATTACACCTTATCTTACCACAAGGAAGGGTAAGATGCTCTTTTATCATCCACTGCACTCCACAAGCGTGATCACACGCCCACAGACCAACATAACACCGCACCTGAGCTGGAACCATCAATGCCTACTCTGGGTTTACACCAGCCAGGCTAGTCCAAGTACGGCATTCATGCCCATATTCCATTACATCCTTGAAGAACTTTCTCAGTATGTAGATGCTTCTCAGTCACAGAACCTGTGCAGTAGTGTCAATACATTTTCTTTTTTTCAAAATATTTTCAATATTGCGACTCACACACATTGGTTGAATCCCAAGGCTATGTGTACAAGTTCCCTAAATGCTAGTTAGTTATCCACGCTCATCCAAAAATACAGTACAGTTACCAGTTGCTAGAAATTCTATTCAAACTCCTGGTCACTCCGTGTGTTTCAGGGTAGTCCAGCTCTTCATAGAGTTTTTAATGGTTGTGATCTTTTAGAAGTGGATCACCAGACCTTTCTTCCAAGTCACATCTGAGTGGGTCCCACCTGCCAGTCATTTATTTTTTGGTTGGTAGCCAAAGGCTGAAACATGTGTACCCTCCAGGGACTCCATTTAAATAGAAAATAAGCCATAATTGTTTCAGCTCATGGTGACCTCATATAGATGAGTTGCTTTGTGTTTTCCAATGGCTCTACTTTTAAAAGTAAGTTACCAGCTGTTCTTAAGAGGAACCTCAGGTAGGCCTGGAACCTCCAGTCTTTGGGTTAACATCCTAACTCATCGTTTTCACTTTGTATTTGAAAAGTGTCATATATTTCTTGGCAGCATATTAACCTTTAAATCTTGTTTCATGCCCAAGAAAATAAACAGGAGGGGAGAAGGTGGTGAATTTTGCTCAACTAATTTTTACTCCAACAGCTATGATTTCCTAGACTGCCTGTTTGGGGGGGGAGGTAAAATTGCAATTGAAGCCAAAGAAGATTGTTTGTGTGGGCATTTTGCTGCACTGTCTAAAAATTGCCTAGAAATTCTGGGAGGGCCACATCCTTCCTAGATGAACAAAATATACAGCCACTGATGCAAACAGCTGGTCCACCATTTTCCAAAAGCACACTTTTTTTCCAAGCTGAAAAAAAATAAAAGAGTCCAAGAGCAACAGTTCGCACACATAGTTGTCTTCCCACCTGGGATGCCGACACACAGTGTGTAAACAGGTTTCAGGAATGCAGACTAGCAAATACCATTGCCTACACCTCAACCCCTGTGCACCGTGTCCTGCACTGAGGCTTCTGAGCCCCCTGAGCCTGAAATTCTTTCTTTCAAAATCACTTCACTTTTGTTGCCTTGGTGCAATCTGAAATAAACCAACATCCACTTCTCTTCTCTTGAAACTGTTGGCATTTTTAACAATGAAACATGACTCAACACATGTTGTTGTTGTTATTGATTGCCTTCGAGTCAAGTGACCCTATGAACAAAAGGCCTGAAGCCCCTCTACAACTATTGACATTTATCAAAGTTCATAGAGGTTACAGAGACATGTCATTTAGAAAGTGAATACCACTCCTACTTCCAAACACATACATGCTGTAATGCTATGCTGTGTGTTAGCCCACTGTGTGTCTGCAGGTTCAAGTGAGAACCACATCAAGGGGTCCTGGGCATGGCAGTACCTTGACCATTGAAAGTTCACGTGGTTCTTGTCAGGGAGCACAGGTCACAAGGTCCACAGAAACCTCGAGAAGGGAAGGACTAGTGAGAAGCTGAGTAAGTTGTTGCACGCCATCATCAAGTCAATTCCAACTCATGTTGACTTTCCATTGGGGGGTGCCAGGACTGTGAAACTTTAAAGAAGAGATTGTCCATCTTTCTTCCACGTAGCAGTATGTGGCTTGTAACGGAGGCTATAAATTGCACAGGAGGAGATTGGCCACCTCAGAAACCCAGTAGAGGGTCAACTATGAGTGGTTCCAACGTGATGTCAGTGAGAGAATCCTCAAAAGCCTGTGTTAATGGTCTTTGTATTTCTTTTTTAATTGATGCTTAACAATTCATTGCAGAGATGCAATCATCTATGACTGTCCAGACTACATAACAGGAGGCCCCAACTCCTGTTACTTTAACAAGAAGTACACTTCCATGTGGAGAGTTTACATCATCAATGTCAATGCCACTAATGAGATGGGAAGCAGTTCTTCAGATCCATATTACATAGATGTGACATACATAGGTAAGACGAAGGGTGTGGGAGGAGGAAAGTGTGACTGTTATTTGTTTACCCAAACTCCATTTGCGTCTTCTGGGCTTTGGGATGAATTCTGAGAAGATAAAATTATATGGATGGGGTGGAAGGTTTAATCATAGGATCACACTATTTGATGAGTGGGGGGGTGGTGAAGGAAATGGGAAAGATTTAGTGTGTAATGGTTTTGAACTTTGTAAATAAACCAGTATAAAATAAAAACAAAATACTGGGAAAAAATAAATATGAAAAAACTTGTTATTTCAACATGTGCAACTTAGTGATGTTAATGGCATTCATCCTGGTGGACGACCATTATCCTCTGTGCTTTTCAGTTTTCCATAATCTGTAACAGAAGCTTGGTGCCCACTAAGCTGTGGCTGTCCCATTCCTCATCCCTGTGCCTTTGTAACCACTAATAAACTTTGTCCTATGTGCAAAAAAAGGAAAAACATCAAAATTATATTATTCACAATTTTAACTGAGCTTAGACTATTTTTGTTAAGTTCATCATTTATGTCAGTGCAGTTGGTCTTTGGGATGCTTGGCTTCATGTGTTCCCTTGACTTTGACCCAATTCTTTTCCACATGGTTGTTGTTTCATGCTGTCAAGTTGTGACTCATAACGACCCTTGTAGGAGGCTCTATTCAAACATTCTTGTCAAACATTCCCCCTTGCATTCCCCTTATAGCTGATATTCACTTCTTCTGTAGCAGGGTATAATACCTTTCACCTCATGAAAAAAATAGAACAGCTCCATAGAATAGCAGCTTTCAGAAGGGGATTGTGTGATTCTGGGCTCACCTATATCACTCAGATTGCTTAGCCCAAATTTCCTTTTGCTTCTTGCCGCTGAATCTTCTTACCAATTGAAGTTACCATCCCACAAAGAATTAGGGTGAAAATAGAGGTCCTTTAGCAGCAGGCTAAAAGCCAAGATCACAAATACAATGTTTGGAGATGTCATTTGCCAAGGAAAACAAAGATAAGCTGACAGCTGCTTCTTGCTTTACATGATCAACATTGTGCTGCAAGAAAACTACGAATAACAGTTGTTGTTGCTATTGTTGTTGTTGTTGTCACCATCGTCGTTGTTGTTCTGTGCCATCAAGTCACCTGCAATTCGTAGAAACCCTATGTACAACAGCCCTAAACCCTTGCTTGTCCTGTGCCAGTCTCACTGTCTCAGTCCACCTCATAGAGGGTCTTCCCCTCCTGCACTGTACCTCCACCCTCCCAAGCATGATGTCCCTGTCTAAAGACTGGTCCCTCCTTGCAACATGTCCAAAGTATGTCAAACAAAACCTCAGAATCCTTGCCTCCAAGGAGCAACCCAGTTTAACCCTCTCCAGAATGAACCTGTTTGTTCTCCTAGCAGTCCATGGTACATTCAGTACTCTTCTCAAGCACCACAGCTCAAAGGCATCAATTCACCCATCAAATTAACTCCATACTCAGAGCAGGCCTATGTACAACAGTACAAACCCCTGCCTGATCCTGCAACATCCACAGTATCTTAAGTCCATTGTTGCAACCACTATGTCAGTCAATCTCCTTGAGGGTTTTCCTCTGACCCTCTAAGGATCTCCTGCTTTTCCAAACTTGGTGTTATTTCCCCAGGGACTATTCCCTCCTGATAATATAACCAAAGCACATGAGAAAAAGCCTTAACATCCTCACTTCTAAGGAGCCAACTTGCTGCACTCCTTCCAAGACCTATGTGCTCTTTTGCCAGCTCATGGGATAGCCAATACTTTTTTATTCAATACAGATCTTCTCCAACGTCAGCACCACAATTCAAAGGCTTAGATTCTCCTTCAGTCTTTCTTCTTTGTTGTTCAGATCTTATATGCATATGCAGTTTAATGGGTACACCTTAATCCCCAAAGTGGCCTCTTTGCATTTTAACACTTTTGAAAGAGGTCTTTTGGTGCAGATTTGCACAGAGTAACACATTGTTTAATTTCTTGTGTATATTACTTCCATGGACACTAATTGTGTTTCCAAGTAAAATAAAATTCTTTACAACTTCAATCTTCTACCCTTTTCTCTTGATGTTGTCTATTGGTACAATTGTGAGCATTTTTTGTTTTCTTTATGCTGAGGTACAACCCAGACTAGAGACTATATAGTCTTGAACTTCATCAATAAATGCTTCAGGATTTCATTTTCTTTCAGCAAATTGTGAAGCTGTGTTATCTGCATATCACAGGTTGTTGATGAATGTTCCTCCACTCCAGATGCCATGTTCTTCTTCATAGAGTCCAGCTTCTTAGATTATTTGTTCAGCATACAGATTGAGTGGGTAGGGAGAAAGGATATGACCCTGATTTTGACCTATCACCCAGTATCCCCTTGTCCTGTTGGAATAGCTGTTTCTTGGTCTATGTACAGGTTCCACATGAACACAATTAAGTGTTCTAGAATTCTCATTCTTCGCAATGTTATCCATAATTAATTATGACCTATGCAGTCAAATGTCTTGGTTTAGTCACTAAAACAGAAGTAAACATCTTTCTCATCTTCTCTGCTTTCCATTAAGCATAATTGTAGTGGTTTATCCAAATGAGCAGAGATGACAAAGGAGAATCCTAGACAAGAGATTCACTGCCCTGTTAGTGTGGTGAACAGTAGTGGGTGGTGTGTTGCCTTGATACTATGTTTTGGCAGCAGTATTCAAATGCCAGGAGAGAGAGTGACCCATGGTGGACAGGGTTCAGCAGAAGTTTCCAGACTAAGAACAGGAAGAAGGACCTAATAATTTACTTCTTTAAAAACTGGCCAATGAAAAACTCCTGAAAAGCAATGGAACATTTTTCAACACACTGTCCAAAGATTAGCCCCTCAGATTAGTTGACGCTCGGGGTATGACGAAGGAAGAACTGCTTTCTCAAAGATTACCTTAGTGACTAGAGTTGTTTGAAACATCATTTGTGATGTAACATGACTCAAAATGAGAAGGAACAGCTGCAGATATCCATTAATAATCAAAATATGTCATGTACAAAGAGTGAATCTAGGAAAATTAGAGGTCTTCAAAATGAATCAGATCAATATCCTAGGTATCAGTGAGCTGAGTACTTCATGGCCACTTTTTAATCAAACATTCATATGGACTGATATGTTGAAATTGACAAATTGAAAAGGAATGGCATCACATTTATTGTGTGAAAAAAATTCAAAATTCATCCTGAAGTATAGCATTGTAAGATAGAAGAATATCCATATGCCTGCAAGGAAGATCAATTGCTACAACTATTCTTCAAATTTATGTAGGAAAAATTAACAGCAAAGATGAAGAAACTGAAAAATTTTAACAACTTCTTCAGTCTGAAAATAATCAATCATGCAATCAAGATGTGTAGATAATCACTGGTGATTGAAATGTCAGAGTTAGAAACAAAGATGGATCAGCAGTTAGAAAATATTACTTAGGAAATGGGAAAAGTTCTGGACACTGTGTGATAGAATTTTGTACTAAGAATGGTTTGTTCACAGCCAATATAGTCTTCAACAACATGAATAGTAATTATAAACATGGATATGCTGTTGTTGTTGATGACTGCCGTCAAGTCAAGCTCAACTCATAGTGACTCTACGAGCCAAAGGCCTAAAGCCTTTCTATAATTGTTGTCATTTATCAAAGTTCATAGAGTTTTCAGGGGCATGTTGTTTAGGAAGTGGATGCCACTCCTGATTCCAAACCTATCTTCAACTGAAAGCTCCACCAAACACCAGTTCCACTAATGGCATTTGACACCCCAGTGGCACAAGGTTCAGCATCACAGCAACTCCAGATTACCTCAGTACAGCAGTTTGACAGAAGAGTGCTATAACATTTAGAAGAATGTTCCTCCAAAATACAATAACAACCAACTTTTAAATACAAAGGCCCTCCTCGAGATCTTGTTGACTCTAAACATGAGGCTTAAATAAAACAGCAACCAATAGAGTATGTTGGGTTTGTTATGTGCCATTAAGTTGCCTGTGATATATAGTAACCCTATGTGCAGCAGCTCTGGCATAGCAGAGAAAATACACACAAATCAAGTCAGCTTGTAGAATTGTTTAGGGGTTCACATTATCATTTCTGCTGGATTGTAATGAGCACTATGATTATGTTTGGCTGAAAGCAACGGATCCTAGAAATATGTTTACGTATGTTTAGTGCCAAAGGCATCTGACTGTGTGGGTCATAATAAATCATGGGTAACATTGCAAAGAATGGGAATTCCAGAACAGTTAATTTTTAGAAAGAGATGATGCAGAAGTTCAATCTCATCAGTCAGAACAAGACTGGGAGCTAACTGTAGAACAGACCATCAGTTACCTATATGTGTATTCAAACTGAAGCTGAAGAAAATAAAAATAAGTCCCAAGAGCGAAAATAAGACATTGAGTATATTCCCCCTGAGCTCATAAGCCATCTGAAGGCTCGATGTGTTGAACATCAATGACTACAAACTAGATGAATCATAACACTTTATCAAGACATCATACATGGAAAAAAGAAAATGGTGTTAAAAGGAAAGAAATGAAAGACAAAAATGGATATCAGAAGACACTCTGAAATGTATTCTTACATAGAATAGCTAAAGAGAATCCAAGAAATGGTGAAATCAAAGAGCAGAACAGAAAAATCTCAAAGAGCAGCTGGTGAAGACACTGTAAAGTATAAAATGTGCAAAGCCTGGAATTAGAAAGCTAGAAGAGAAGAACATACTCAACATTTCTCACACTGAGAGAATGGAAGAAAAGGTCAAGCACTGAGTTGCAATACTGCAAGAATCAAAGAAGAGGCATAAAAATATTGGTGTATGAGACCTTCTAAAGATTGTGTGTATCAAAAACTTTTTCCAACAGGGTGGAAAAAACCTACCAAATGGGAACAAACATTTGGCAATACCATCTCAGACAAGAGTCTCATAATGCAAGTTTACAGAATACTCCTGGGCCTCCACAAGAAAAAGACTGATAATCCAATTAC